AGTTTTTCTAACCGTGGCCATGGCATTGTTGGTAAGTGTTTGTGGTCACGATTACTGAAAGCAGGCCGTTTGAATAAAAGGGTAGGAGTGCTACAATGTTACTGTAGATCAGGGGTCCCCAATCCCAGTCCACGAGGGCCGGTGTCCCTGCAGGTTTTAGATGTGTCCCTGATCCATCACAGCTGATTTAAAGGCTAAATGACCTCCTCAACATGTCTTGAAGTTCTCCAGAGGCCTGGTAATTAACTAACCATGTGATTCAGGTGTGTTGACCCAGGGTGAGATCTAAAACCTGCAGGGACACCGGCCCTCGTGGACTGGGATTGGGGACCCCTGCTGTAGATCAAGAGTAATAAAAATCTGACCATGTAAAAAAAAATAGACCATGAAACTGATCATTTTCTGTGATATGCTTTGCTCTAAGGACCAGCTAAAGTGGATGTCTTACATTAGCATTGTGGCCATCTTCAGTTTTGTAGCCTTTTTTGAAATTGGCCCTGGCCCCATCCCATGGTTTATTGTGGCTGAACTCTTCAGCCAAGGGCCCCGTCCTGCTGCCATTGCAGTTGCTGGTTTCTCCAATTGGTCTGCCAACTTCTTAGTGGGGATGTGCTTCCAGTACATTGAGGTAAGACAGCTTTTATTTAAAATTTTGTTTGTTTGTTTTGGGGCTCCTATTTTCAGTTGTACAACTGAGTGCTTTTGCTCCATGGATTAGACAACAACAGATTCAGTTGGCTACAGGTATAATCCGGTGAACATAAAAACTCTGTAAATATGCACTCTAACAACAGAAGATCCAATCAGAATTCATAATTCAGTTTGAATTGACTGCCCTTAAAAAACAAAGAGCCAATTTTTTTTTTTTTTTAATAACTTTGGTATTCAAGCAATACACTTTCAGCACCGGTCTAGGAAAGTCCTGTTCTGTGAGTGTCTTGTGGACCATTTGTATTTCAATTTCTATAGCTCAAATTATATATATATGTGTGTATACATATATATATATATATATATATATATATACATATAATGTATAATGTAATTGTTAGCTTGTTGTCTGCAACAACAACAGAATTGAGCCTTTCCCTTTAATCCAGCAACTCTGTGGCCCCTACGTCTTCATCATCTTCACCATCTTGCTGCTCGGCTTCTTCGTCTTCACCTACTTCAAGGTTCCAGAAACTAAGGGCTGCACTTTTGATGAGATTGCAGCGGGCTTCCGCCAGACAGCAGGTCAGGGATCTGACAAGTACTCAGCCCCGGAAGAATTCAACACCCTGAGGGGGGATGACCCTGATCTTTGAAAGTTTGTTCATGTAGGGACCACTGTTGTCCATGTTTTAGATATTTCATCCATTAATGTTAGAGCCAGTAATCCACAGTGTAGGGGCTTTCACACAGAGTTACCATGGGCTTGTTCTGTAGCACAGCAAACTATTGGTCACTAGTAAAAATGACATCCCAGTAGGCATTCAAAATGAACCAAGTGTCATTTTGTAACAGAAAAAAGCCGGGTTAAGTATATGGAATCACTATATAGAACCCTCTCCTTATTTATTACAGGAAATAGAGTTTTGAACCTTTTTTTTCTTTTTGCCCACACGTCTCTTTCAGTTTTGGAGTTAATGATATAAAACATTAGATGGACTGTTTCATGTTTGATAGGTGACAGAAAATCTTGGTTGTGTGCTTTTTTATATACATTTGATTTTGTTTAATAATTAAGACTTTAGTCAAACGTAATATGTTAGAACTACAAATGTGTTTACATGTGTGTCAAACAGAGAAAATGAAACTTAACAAAGTTTAATAATTGATTTTTTTGTCTTTCTGAGTTATTAAATTAATACCTATAAAATGGCACTGGATGTGATGTGACATACATGAAGCTTGACTTCTGCATTGTGTGGCCTCACTGCAAATGCATGTTAGTGTTTCGTCTCCCTGTACGCTCCCGATGTTCCCACTCTGCCTGCAGAATATCTTTGGAGAGTCTCCAATGCTTTGAAATGTTTTTCCTTCAATTCAAGTAAAAAGCATAGACGAAGAATCTTGTTGAAAAGAAGTTAGTCTTCTTAGCCTTTGGTTTATATTGAAAAATGGATTTTACCCTCAACTATAATCTCTGTGAAACCTATCCAATTATTTTGGTGCCTAAATCTAACCACACACATGTTGTTCAGCTCCATGATGACAAAGTTCTAACTATTCCAAACATTAATACTTTAATTAAACATTCAAAAAATAGAAGTACTAGATCTCCATCACTCATTTTCCAATTCAGTCTTATTTATACAGTGCCAAATCACAGCAACAGTGATCTCAAGCCATTTTGTATCCTAAGGTAAAGACCCTTTATTAATACAGCCAGATGGCCACCTCTGTTCAAGCACCTTTGCAATAGTGGAAAGAAAATCTTCCTTTAAACTAGAAGAAACCTTTAGCTGAACCAGGGTTCAGGGACAGGGTGTCTGTCTCCCGAATCCAAACTGGAAGCTCGTTCCACAGAAGAGGGGGCTGAAAGCTTAAGACTCTGCCTCCCATTCTGCTTTCAAATATTTAAATAATATCATTAAATATACCATACTAACGTTACAGGACCAAAACTTGTGTTTCAGTTTCTCTCCTCTATGTTAAGTACATTGCTCCCTTTATTTAGAAAATAGACATAACAGTGAAAACACCACTATTCTCATGCTAACACACGTTAGCATGTTGGACACACTGAGTGTGAAAGTCAAGCATGCTGTAGAGGTATTTTACAGTTGTCAGAGAAAACACTGCAAACATCAATGCGTGTGGGAAGGAAACTATTTACTGAGACCACTAATCTACACAAACACATTAAACATCTTTTTCAGCAACATTATCTTACCCATATCGTATATTTAGACATTCAAATAATATATTTGGCCCATTTAAATGTGTTTATTTTATTATAAGTGAACAAATAGACCTCAAACATGAACTGTGAAAATGCCTGAATATAGGCCTTTTGTGTTAACCAAAGTCAAGTCACTGTCATTTATATAACATTACGTGTATAATTACATGGTTCACATGCTGCTCCAAGGCAGAGCTGAGCTCTCTGGAGCTGCACGGCTCCCCCTGCTGGTCCTTAGAGCATCTAGGGGCAGGGGGCCAACCACAGCAGACGTAGGACCTGATGGGACCTGTAGTTCTTTTGATGGGCCTGGACACGGTGATTAGAAACACTCATACTTGTTGAACAGGTTCAGTTAATGAAATACTGGGAGTACCAGGAATGGGTAGACTGTGCAATTCACATTCATCTCTCATTATGACCACAGGGTATGTATCTGTACATGTCTGCATTTTACCCAACTCCTCAGCAAGTGGGCAAACGAAAACCAATTATTTTGTCCTTTTCTATCATGCTCAGCATCCTCATGCAAGGGCGATGTTGGTTTGTCTGTTTGGATTTGTTGAAAGCGTTACATTCAGTGTGTGTCACCTGTATGCAGTAGCGGTTTTTGATACGGGCGACACGGGCGGTTGCCCGGAGCGGCATCGTGGTGGGGGGCGGCATCACGGGCATCGGCAAAAAAAAAAAAAAAAAAAAATGCTCGTACTCATGCTGCCCCGACGTCAGCCAGCACATATTGGGAATGGTACAGGCACCAATCGGTTTTCTATCGCCCATTTGCTGGCAGTAAGGGCGCCCTCCGTTTGCGAGGTGCCTGCTGCTTGCGGCACAGGTAGGAGAGGGCGGGGCGGCGGGGGATTCTCTGACTGGCTGGAGCAGCGCGTCCAACTCGCAAAGTAAACAAAATAAAAAACAAAACAACAAACACGAAAACACCAGACATCATGATACAGACTTATAATTTGCTCGGTGCGCCTGCTCGCTGCTGAAGTCAAAGTAAACTTTATTGTCATCTCCGCTACATACAGTCCAGTATATAGAGAGACGGGATGACGAGGCTCCAGTTACAGCAAGAAAACAATAAATATAAGAAGAGTAAGAAAATAAATATACACTTTAGGACTCGGGGTAAAGGGATCAATAACAATTTAAAATTTATAATTTAGTTTGCTGATTTAAGGTCTCACACACAACCCGTTGAAAGGGGAGGGGGGGGGGGCTGCTTCCAAATAGAGCACATTTCATTCATAATGATGTAAATCCAAGCCCATTATGTATTCATGATTTGAATCCTGGGTTGTGTGAAATCCCAGAAATAAACCTTAGACAAAGTGAATCTGTGAACTAAGGTGTAGGTGTGTTAGGTTATGTTGTGGTGATCCTCGAGTTGGGGGATGGCTGTTCATGGAGTGTAAAATTAAAACCAATGGAAGATGGACAGGAAAAGTTCAAAGCCATCAGGTGCTCAGTTTAGAAAAAATAGAAAAGGAGGAGAAACGAGCAAAAGACACAGGTAAGCAGATGTGTCATTGGATTATGGCAGCTCAGGACCGCCACTGTATGTTACTGACCAGTCAACATTTATATTTGCAATAGATTTTGAGTAATCACTAAAAATGGAACGTAGATTTAGAAACTACACTGCAAGCTAGTGCTGATTATTCTGACACCCATTCTAACATGTCATAAAAGCTTATACAGATACAAGAACCCAGAAAACTAACTTAAACTGGACTTTTAAATAAAAAAAAAAAAACTCACTGGAAAATACATTTTGCAAAATGATAGAAATTTTAAACTTTAATTGCTTCTTCCATTACTAATATTTTTTGCAGAAATACAAACTATACTTTATACGTGTCTTCTGCTTGGCTCAACATGATTTAGGTGATCTGGTCAATAAGCTGTGACATGTACATTTACACATTGAATTACTCAATATGTGGAAAATCCCCACATGCCACTTGGCTGCTGGAGTGTCATGTACTGTATGACCTGGACTTTGAACTTGACGTTAGCACTAGCACCTAATAAAGCCACTTGTCACTACAGACCAGCGTCGATGCCCAGCTCCATACCTCCCACCCACACAGTTACTGGACAAGTTACGTAAGTGAAGGAAAAGTATTTAATAAGTATTATTAATCATGTACATAAGGCAGCAGGTGCTTTAAGTGTGACTCTTGTCATGACATCAAGTTCATCATAAGGTGTAAGATTTGCACACATCTTACATATATTTGATCACTACACTAGGTTCTCACCTATAATAACACATTAATGCTCATTCTTACAGGTAGGCCATCTGAACTCTTTGTAAGAGTAAAAGTGAAATGTTCACAATTCATGTTCTGAGGTCATCGTTTGGAGGTTTAGTTGTTTAGCACAAGTTTCCCTTTGAACAAATGATCAGCTCCACATACGTAAAAACAAAACAGGTTAATCTGCCCGACAGTGACATTACTCATCAGGAGCCAACATGACCGCACAATTTCATTGATCATTGTTTCCTATTCACTCAAAGGTTTGAAAAATCAATAAAAACATCTTTACAGTTTGATATTCATACTCTGTAACGTTAATGGCATTTTTTTTTTTTAAAAACTCAACTGTTCTTAGTGTTTTCTTTTCTTTTTTTTCTTTAAAAAAAAAAAAAAGACTTTATTCAGACAGTTTCTTCACTGTGAAGCTCTGGAGGAGCGTCGAGCAGCTCAAACATGTCATCGATGACTTGCCACAGGCAGTTCTCCAGAGGGAAGTCATTGTCCACCAAATTGACGAGGAAGTAATTGTCATGGATATATTTAATTATCATCCGAGAAGGAGACTCGTCTTCATAGAGTTTGCCCCACTGCTCAATCCACAAGGCAAACGCCTCATCCTGAGAAGATATGAGAACATCTGGGTCAACACAACATGCCAGAGCTTTTACATCACACTGCACTCTGTCTTTAAAGTTAAAGATTATACAAAAATACAGAGAAAACAAACAATCAGATAAGCCTGTATGAGCGAGCAGCTAGTGACAGTGGGAAATAAAAACTCCCTTTTAACAGGAAGAAACCTCCAGCAGTACCAGCAGCAAGGAGGGGCGGGGCCATCTGCTGCGACCGCTTGGAGCTGGTTCCAGAGCTCCGCCTCCTACTCTACCATTAAACGCAGTCATACTTTATTATTACCCTTTTAAACCTTGAATATTTCAGTCATTTAAAAACACGACACAAGGTTTAACATTCCCCAAACTGTGGACAGAAAGAAGACAGTGTCTCACCTTCCAGTACATGAAACTAACTGGGTCCACTACAGTCGGCTGAACAATCTCCCTTCCGGCGAAGATCCCCCAAGTCACAGCATTTGGTTGCATTTCAGGGGCGTTGGTCAGGTTACGGCCCTGAATGCAAAATGTTCACCATGACCAATGTTTACACACACACAACCATGGAGTGACTGATGCTTTGTGAACAAACTTACATTCACATTAACAATGTGATAATTCACACGGGGCTCGTACTTCTTCAGTACTTTAAGAAGAGCGGTCACATTTTCACTGGAGGTGAAAAACTCCAGATAGGCCTGTCGGTTGAATAACATCCATATTAACAATAGCAGACTGAGTATCCCATCTGAAGGTACTGAAAATACTGTTAGTGTTTGTACCTTCTGGAAGACATAGCCCCCTGGAGGTCCCCAGCCCACAATGGGGTCTGTGGAGGGTTTGCCATTGATGTTGGGCTGAGAATTGATGGTGAGGACTCCTCGCCTGTTCACTTTCTCCAGTTCATCCTTCAGAAGGTTGGTCTCTGGGGCCAGAGGCTCGTCATTCCAAGGCAAACACATCACCTATAGCAGAAGAGAAAGCCTTAGCCTGCTGTTACTGCTGCTATATACAGAAGACTTGCTGTGGAAGAACGAGTGGCTACGTGGGGTATGGTTAAAAACAAAAACCTGTTCTCAGAGTGAGTGTCAGTGTTTCCAGTGCACTCAGGACAGGATTCATTTAAACAGAGTAACAATGGCACACCAGCCAACCACAAGGTTAGTTTTCACACTTGACTTATCTAATTTAGCTGGAACATACAGTAGACAACAGCTTTGTATACTTAAACCAAGGACAGATATAGGAAATCTGTGGTGCCACAGGCTGGGAAAGCTACGAGTGACCGAGCTCCGTGGTTCATCCTGGATACCTTGTGTCCGCAGCGATTTGGCTGAGCTGTAATGTAGCAGGTAAAGACTTCAAAGACGCTCTCCTCATTTTGTAGCTCTTCACCCCACATTTGCAGCAGTGCATCTTTAGATGATTTGCTCTTCAGGTAGAACAGGTAATAGTCATTCAACTCCCCAAAAGCTGGAGACGAGGAATTTCCCCTGAGGACGAAAACAAGACTCTGAGCTAAAGTTCAATAAAAGCTGAACGAGGTTCCAGAAAGTGATTAGATTAAAAAAAACAAAACAAACAAGAAACAATAATAATACAATTTAACGCGTGTGCACATTTCATAGTGTCAATGTGAGCGCTCGAGCAGAGTAGGAAACAATCAGTCCATCTGAAGAATGAGTCACATATTTAACCTCCTAGGACCTGGCGTCCACATATGTAGGAATCACATTTTTGGTTGTCTAGACCAAAATACTAAATTTTGCTCTACAAGGGCCTGATATCCACTTACGAGGACATTATACTGCCTCTGTTCTATTGAAATTTTAAACAAGTATCCTCATATGTGGATCTCATTTCTTAGAAACAAAATCAGGTTTAAAAAAAAAGTTAACTCTTTGTTTTTACATTCATCAGGTCCCAATCAGCCCAAATATCAAAGATAAATTAAAAATGCATGCTATGAAAGCGTTTGTGTCTTAGGAGGTTAAAGGAGAAATGCATAAACAAGCAAGCAACAGGGTCTTCTGATGGTGAGCTTTTGAGCAACAGCGAGCCTAAAACCTGCGTCATACTTCCCACGTCTGCCAGTCTGCCAGGGTCCACTCAGCTCAGAGTGATGGCAGTTTTCTTGTTAACACACACATTGAATACAATGGTCATGAGGACATCAGTGTGTTTGCCCGTTTATTACCAAAAAAGAAAAACTGCAGCTACAAGAACACACATTAGAAAACTTATCACATAGAACAGCTGTTAATGTAACTCCAGTATGCACTTAACAGTCAAAGGCTGGAGATGAAGGATGATCCCTGTGGACAACAGCACGACTCACAACTCGTATGCAAGTTCTTACATACACTTATGCAATAATTTGCATAAATTGAGGCATTCAACAAGAACAGCCCTCATTTAATGTCTGAAATGCAACAATGAGGACATCGTGATAAATGAACCCTACCATCTGCCATTGGGGAAGTCGTCCCAGTCCTGGGTTCTGTAGATGTAGCTCTTGGGCCTGGAAGCCCAGAAGATGGGTCGAACATCTTCTACCTTCCGTTTGGGATGGGCGCTCACTGCCCAGGGCAGAGGCCGCCTGGCACAGAAACACACTGTCAGCCTCTACAGCACTCTCTCAGGGCAGGCAAAGAAATAAAGGCCTGCTCTACAAAAGACACTGCTCAGTGAAATGAAGCAAATACTTTGGTCACTACTTTGATCACACATGAGTTCTTGATGAACGAAGCATTCAAGCTGAAATACTTTACTCATGTAACACTGTAATGTAATGATAATAAAATTGTCAGTGGAGATGTAATAATCAACCTTTTAAGCAGATTCAAAATTACACCTAAATTGGAGTTAGAACTTACAGTTTGATTCAACACAGTGTTAGCATGTCAACATGTGTCACGAAAGTTGGTGTGAGGCAGTAATGTTTATGGGAATCTCCTCCCAGACTTTGAAAAAGGCATCAGTGAGCTCCTGAACAGTCAATACAACCATCGGCAGATCTGCAACTTGAGCAAATCTCACTGTGGAATCAAATTCCACCCAAGATGACTGGTATAATATCCTATTAGAGCGATTAGAACTTGTGGTAGGTATTACAGGTACTGCGCTGCTGTGGTTTGTATCATATCTATCTAATAGACTCAGATTTGTTCATGTAAATGGAGAGTCCTCTTCACACACCGAGGTTAATTATGGAGTTCCACAGGGTTCAGTGCTAGGACCAATTCTGTTTATATTATACATGCTTCCCTTAGGCAGTACTATCAGAAGACATAGCATACATTTTCACTGCTATGCTGATGACACCCAGCTCTATCTGTCCATGAAGCCAGATAACACACACCAATTAGTTAAACTGCAGGAATGTCTTAAAGACATAAAGACCTGGATGGCTGCTAACTTTCTGCTTCTTAATTCAGGAGAAATTGAGGTTATTGTACTCGGCCCTGAAAAGCTTAGAAATATGGTATCTAACCAAATTCTTACTCTGGATTACATTAACACTGTGAGGAACCTTGGAGTCATTTTTGACCAGGACATGTCCTTCAATGCACATATTAAACAAATATGTAAGACTGCGTTCTTCCATTTGCGCAACATCTCTAAAATTAGAAATATCCTGTCTCAGAGTGATGCTGAAAAACTAGTTCATGCATTTATTACTTCCAGGCTGGACGACTGTAATTCATTATTATCAGGATGTCCAAAAAACTGCCTGAAAGCCTTCAGTTAATCCAAAATGCTGCAGCAAGAGTCCTGACAGGGACTAGAAAGAGAGAGCATATTTCTCCTGTATTGGCTTCCCTTCATTGGCTTCCTGTTAAATCCAGAATTGAATTCAAAATCCTGCTCCTCACATACAAGGTCTTAAATAATCAGGCCCCATCTTATCTCAATGACCATGTAGCATATCACCCTATTAGAGCACTTCGCTCTCGCTCTGCAGGCCTACTTGTTGTTCCTAGAGTATTTAAAAGTAGAATGGGAGGGAGAGCCTTCAGTTTTCAGGCCCCTCTTCTGTGGAACCAGTTTCCAGTTTGGATTCAGGAGACAGACACTATCTCTACTTTTAAGATTAGGCTTCAAACTTGCCTTTTTGCTAAAGCATATAGATAGGGAGGATTCAGGGTCACCTGGCCCAGCCCTTAGTTATGCTGCAATAGACGTAGGCTGCCGGAGATTTCCATGATGCATTGAGTGTTTCCTTTCCAGTCACCTTTCTCACACACTATGTGTTAATAGTCCTCTCTGCACTGAATCGTTTCTGTTATTAATCCCCGTCTGTCTTCCACAGCATGTCTTTATCCTGTCTTCCTTCTCTCACCCCAACCAATCACAGCAGATGGCCCCGCCCCTCCCTGAGCCTGGTTCTGCCAGAGGTTTCTTCTTGTTAAAAGGGAGTTTTTCCGTCCCACTGTCGCCAAAGTGCTTGCTCATAGGGGGTCATATGATTGTTGGGTTTTCTCTGTTGTATTATTGTAGGGTCTACCTTACAATATAAAGCGCCTTGAGGTGACTGTTGCTGTGATTTGGTGCTATATAAATAAAACTGAATTGAATTGGTGAACACTGAGGAACCCAGCATGCCATAATCATCATTTTACGTGACTGGAGGCCTCTCACATAAATCATCACTTTAAACAGATGACATCATCTTACACGGTGCAAACCCCGTCTCGGCAATTCTCAACACACCAACTCGATTTGGGAAACTCTCAGGACACAAAATTAATTTTAGTATATTATTATTATTTATTTATTATATTACAGGCCCAAACGTGTCATATCGCATAGACGAAGATCTGTCTGACAGAGGTGAAGTATGGCTGCGAGTCGAAAAGGCAAGATAGTAATGTGCTTTGGGGAGTCTATCGCCATATCCTCTCATTATACCCACATGGTCAGGGTTTGATTTCCAGTCTTTAAAGTAGTAAATGCAGCATCATTCCAGACTCCTTACAAGCACGTGTCAAACTCCAGGCCGAAATCATTTTATACAGATTTATTATTAGTGTTATGCATGGTGATATGAGGTGCTAATAACACAGAAACTACAGATCCCATAATGCAGCGCTGCAGCCTCCTTGCCGAACGCTAGGCTACCTGGGAACATTCCTGCGTCAATCAAGTCAAACTTCTGTTATTACAAAGCTAGCCACTCACAATGGCGAAGCGAAAAGTTGATTCTGAAAGCAGAGCCTTTCAGCACCGGTGGGAGGCTGAATATATGTTTACAGACATTGCTGGTAACCCCGTGTGTCTTATTAGTGGAGCTAATATGCTGTAATTAAAGAATTTAATTTAAGACGGCACTATGACAAAAAACATCAGGATTAGCTGAAAAACCTAAATGCAGAAACTGCAGAAGGTAGAAGAGCTAAAGAAGAATCTAACATTGCACCAGAGTAAAATCACAAAGTGAAGCTGTTGTGAAAGCAAGTTTTATTGTAGCAGAGGAGATAGCCAAATCAGCCCGGCCATTTACGACTCTGAAGAGCTGCATGATGAAGCTGTGCGACGTCATGTGTCCAGACAAAACGCAGATTTTGGCAAATGTGAGCCTGAGCAGAAACGTATGTCAAAGTGTAACCGACATGAAACTGCCCGGGGACAAACAACAGATCGAGCGCCGGTGTTGTCGTCAGGATGCGAGTAAAGATGCAGGAGAACTGTATCGGCGAGTTAACAGCATACTGCATCACACACCAGGAAAGACTGTGTGGTAAAGTCCTAAAAATGGAGCATGTAATGATCACTGTAACGCAAACCGTAAATTTTATCTGAGCTAAAAGTTTAAATCACCGTCAATTTCAGTCTTTTATGTGGGAAATAGATTCAGAGTTTGCTGACATTCCTCATCATACAGAGGTCCGTTGGCTGAGTTGGGGAAAAGTTCTCAATAGAGTTTTTGAGCTCAGCAAGGAAATCTGTCAGGTCATGGACATGTATGATGTGGTGAAGGCATTTCAAGTGAAGCTGTCACAAATGCACCAGTGCAACCTGCCTCACTTTCCCTGTTGCCAAGTAATGTTGAACCAAGTCAGCGGACTTTGCTGATAAACTGAGCACACTGCGCACACCCGGCGCTTTGGTGACTTTGAAGCACAAAAAGAGAATTTTGAGCTGCTTCGCAACTCATTTACGTGGAAACTGCACCTGTGCAGATTCAGATGGAGCTGCAGTGTAATGATACACTCAAGGGAAAGTACGACACTGAATGGCCCGCACAGTTTATTAGTTCCATTCCTGAAGCAATGCCCCAGCTCTGTCTACATGCGGCTCCAACCTTGTATATGCTTTCATTTATTTTTTCTGTGGTTTTTGGCAGCATGTTCATATTTCTAACTTAGAATCGGGGTTAATATTGTGTGGAGATGGTTGACGAAACTACATTTTCTTATTAAACTCGACTGAATCTCAGTTTTGCTCAAAGCACTGGTGTTTGATTGACTGACCTGGGGTCTTCTATCCACAGGCCCAGCTGTCGAAGCACCTCCATGGTCGCAACTTCACGGTTCAGCGTGTAAAAGTGGACACCTGGCACCTTGCCACTGTCCAGCAGCACACGGCACATCTCCACTGCTTGCTGTATCCCATAATTACGGATAGCAGCATCGTTGTCTTTGATAGGCTCGATGACTTGGGTGATCTCCTCTGGGACCTCAAGCTTGGAGAGCTTGACAAGCTGACGCAGAGACTGGTAACCCTGAACAACATGAACACACGAAAGTTGAGATCCACTCCTGTGCAGCTCTAACAGAACGTACTGTTATCCAGCAGCTTTACGTGTGGTCAGGATGCACTGCTGTCACTGTGAGACTGCTAATGCTACAATGTCTGTCTGAAACATTAGCTCCATCGAGTCATCTTTCCCTGTGTGGAAGGCAAAAGGGAAATCTGGACCATGACGAGTACATTTAACACTCTTTAGTATCACTGCAACCAGCTACCCCTTTGACTGCTCCATGGTTCAGATGACGAAAGAGGAAAGCACAATCACAGGGAGTGTAAAGAGTAACAGAACACAACACTATCACTTCAAAGAGGAGAAAATTGCTTTGAAGATAAAGATAAGAGGATTCCTGTTCCTAGAAGAACTTAGTTACCTGAATGGGGAAGATTCCTGGTAAGATGGGACATGTGATGCCAATGGCTCTGCAATCATCCAGGAACTTGAGGAAAGTGTCGGGCCTGAAGAACAGCTGGGTGATGACAAAGTCTGCTCCAGCATCCACTTTCTCCTTCAGGTGCCTGAGATCAGCTTCATAGCTCTCTGCTTCAGGGTGGCCTGTGGGGTAGCCTGGACACACACATTTAAATTAGCGACAATCCACTCAAACTGCATCCTGCTGACCTCGACGGTGAGAACATACCAGCGACGCAGATGTCAAAGTAGTCATCAAACTCTGAGCGGATATGTTTGACAAGGTCGATGGCATAGTTGAAACCATCCTCCTCTTCCTCCCAATCTTCTCCTATTGGGTCTGTGAAGATATTTGGCACATGCCTAAGGTTTAAAAACATGCACAGCTGGATGAGACAGGTCGCATCCTTGTACAACAAACTAGATGAGCTTTGAGCGCCGATTAAAACAAAGAGGGAGATCCATTAGTTTGTATGAATCGGGGAAAGTGCAGCTGAATCGAGGACGTGTTACGGTGAAGGAACGTCTCCACAGATTGGGAAGCATTAGCAGTGGGAATGCATCGATTTTAATTGCCAAAGAAAAACTCGTCCGTCAGCGATCAGATTGTTGACATTCAGCCATCAGCTGATTCAGATGTAGCGTGTGACATCACTCGCTGCATGTAGCATGCCTGCTAACGCAGCATTTAAGTGCTTTTATGGTTGTGACCGATGATTTTAACAAAGTGTCACAGAACATTACAAACAGGACATAAACTGTCCGCCTCTGCAGAGCACTGCTCGTGCATGCGGCGCTGTGTTAACAGTCCATTGTAATGTCTTGATGGATGTTCAGTCATCCAGGTAAAGAAATCCCAAAAGTTGATTCTGTTCATCTGGACGTTTTCAGTGGGAGAAACGTGTCGTCACTCATCCAGGTGACTTCTTCAGTCTCAGCTGACTGCAGGTTTCCAACCTTATAAACATAATGATCATTTGCCTGAACTGAAACTAGCACCACTGAAGGAACAATGGGCCGGGAGGTCAGTTCCTTAATCATAATTATGCAAATTCTCATGAGCATTGATCAGCAACCATCAGGCCAGGACTCTGCAGTCTATTTACACCTACAGGCCAGAGGACACTCTTTCAATGATGAGGATGAACACATCCTGGACAGGGAGGAATGCTGGTTTGAGGGCGGAGTCAAGGAGGCCATTTACGTGAAAAGGGAAAGACCATCTCTGAATGGAGGAGGGGGTCTAAGGGTACATCTGTCACCATCTTACAATGCTGTGATAGCTGCCATTCACCAACTCTGTGAATCGTACTCATGACCACTGATCAGTGGCTGTTGATCAATGGTCATGAGAATTTGCATAATAATGATTAAGGGACTGACCTCACAGCCCATTGTTCCTTCAGTGGGCTGGTTTTAGTCATTATGCAAATGTACTGTTTATAAGATTGGGGAAACCTTCAGCTGAGACTGAAGAAGTCACCTGGATGAGTGATGAAACGTTTCTCCCACTGAAAACGTCCAGATGAACAGAATCAGTGTTTGGAGAGTCCACTGTAACCCACGCCAGTGTGGAGAACACAGTCCACTGTTACACCGAGCAACTTCACGTCACCTGACATTTGTCTTTACTACATTTTTTAAGCCATTCGAAATCATGCTGCTTGTTGATTTTCAAATATTTTTCTTGCTTGCAGTAAGACCAAAGTAAAGGAAAAAGTAGGTCTGACATTGTGTTTCTAATTCTCGTCTCAGAAGCTGAATGATCTGGAATATTTCAGAGCACAAACGCTGCAGCAGGATGTCTCCATCAGGTTTTATATTTGCAGTTTATTAGGAGTTTTTTTTTTCTTTTTTTCCTTTTAAATAAATGGTTACATCCTGAGAGATTTAGTACATCACAGGCTGTACAGAAAAATGGATGATTCCATTAATAATGCATTTAATTTACGAGTACGAGTGTTGTTGGCGTGCTGCTGTGTGAAGACATGATAAAAATACTCGACAGCCAGTGCTACCCTTCAGTGGGTACGCCTCTCCAAATCCCACATCCTCGAGTTATTGCATTCACAGGATGACAATGCCCCATCAACCTTTATGGCTGCTGAGCTGCTGCAGCCCAGGAAGTACAGCGGATCATCTAATGACTGAAAGGTTGATGGTTTGATCCCTGGCTCATACTAACCCCAAGCTGCTCTCCGGTTTATCTGTTGGAGAGTAAATGTTAAACAGAAGAGCGCTGGTATGGCTACCATCAGCATTACCTCCTCTTAGTGCCATGATATTCTTCAGGCCCAGGTGCTTTGCTTTTGCCAAGTAGCCAGTGATTTTCTCTTTGCTTTGATTGCAGCAGGTTAGGTGGAGGATGCTCTCCAGGCCACAATAGTTGACAGCTGTGCTAGCAATCATCATGGATGAAGTTTCCTTGTCTGAACCCGGGTCGCCTGCTGGGTGCCAGGTAATGTCGATGAACAGGGGCCCACCAGAGCCCATACGGTCAAACCTGTAGAAAAAACACAAAGGCACACTCAAACCAGGGGTGGGAGTGAGGTAGTAAAGATGAACACATACATAACAACTACAATCTGGACTTGAGGGCTGGGAGCCAAACCGGGACACGTTTTCCCAGATGGGCTCAGTAAGGCGTTTTCAGTTTTGCAGATAAGATCATAGTGTGTACAGTGTTATGTTTCATGAAGCTTTTATTGTCACACATTTGAGGACGTCTGCTGTGGAAAATTCATGTCAATGTTTGTACTTTTTTGGTGGATTGTTAATTAGTCTGTGTTGGTCTGCGTGTTGGGTTTATTAGTCTACCAAGAACTGGATGTGCTCCAGACAGTGAAGAACACTGTTTTGTGTCTTAGAGTTCCCTGGATACATATCAGAGAGATCACATACTTCATAACAGAACAGCTGTCAAATTGCAACCTTCTGTTGATTTTGCTCATAAAAAGGATTTTTGTGATTAAGTTAAAGAAGGCGTGAAAAGGTCCCAATCGCGAAATCGGTCAATTTTATAAGCATTAGAATAAACATTCTGAGATAGTGGATGCTGCCTGTGGACCAAAACATGAGTTTAAATAAATAAATAAATAAATAAATAAAAGCAGGACTGACCGCCATCATGACTTTTTGGGATATGTTACTGCCAGAGTCTGTCACTTCTACTGGATCCCCCCCCCCTACACACACACACACTATCATCTCTCCTGTTGCTATACATAGCCCTACTAGCACACTCCTGCCTTTCCTTGTCCCTTTTCAGTTCCCATCTGCACCCACCAACAGCCCCACCAGCGGTCGCTGTTAACCCAGGGACGTCTCATTCTTGATGCGTCCCGTTTAAGTTCACATACCGTGATATGAGGTTAACAGCCCCACTGGCTGTGCGTGGAGGGAAGAACTCCAACGAGAACCAGCGGTCTCCGGACTCCATCCTTCTGCGCATCTTGTCCCGCAATCTGTCCGACCGGTACGCATCCAGCACCGGCGTGGAGCACCGGGAGCTCTCCTTGGAGCTGTCCCCGCCACTGTTGCTGGCCCCGCTGGAGTCGCTCTTGCACTGGCAGGTGCCATCCCCTCGCTCAACCTGGTTCACCATGACTGTAACTTACACTGGGAAGAAGAACAAATACGGCGGTGTGTTCAGATTTAATGTTGCCTGCATGAGAAAACGTGTTAAAGCACAACTTTAGCTAAATGTTCTCCACTAAACTTTTCCACATCCCGCATATAACAGCTGTTTCGGACTTACCACTATAGCAGGCAGCACGGCACTCACACACTCCTACCTCTGACCCTTTACATCACGGGTTAATTATGGTCTGACTGAATGGTGACCGACGGCTGTGATAACGTCGGTTGCTTAACAGCGACGCGAGCGGCTCGTTATAGCTCTTGCGCGCACGCGCTGCTTAAGCTAGCTGTCCGGGCTCAGCACGTGCTCAGGCTGCATTCACACGTAAACGCAGAATCGACACATCGAGTCAACCGAGTGCGCCTAACGCCATCGTGCTGGACTGATTTACACTGGTGCAATGTGCAGATAGTTTATACCACCTCCTCGGTCCTGCTGCCTTTATGCCCCTGAGCTCCCATTCGTCCACAGCCACAAAAATAAGCACTGCTACAGCTGCTGCGAACTTTACGCTAAACTGCTTCCTCTTTGGAGTTTTCCAACAGTTTGCATCCTTTACAGTTGCAATACTGCCCCCTTCTGTTCTTAGTGCTCATTCTCCAAATGGTCTGCAACACAAAGCGCTCTTCTGAATCAGAATTCTGCTACACGATTTGGTCTTTCGTGTAATTATCAGCTTTATGTTGATCTTTCCAGATTCTGCTGCCTCCTTTCGATTGATCCCATCCTCCTCCTCTGACGCACAAACTCTCCACATGTCCTCCTTCACTACATCCAAACTTTCAGAGGTCTTCCTCTGTCCCTCCTGCCTGGCAGCTGTCACGTATCCTCTCTGCACGTGTCCAAACAATCTCAGCCTTGCATCTCTAACGTTGTCTCCACTGGCAGCTAAGGAGAAGAGGCTGAGGAAGAATCAGTAAGGGCCAGCTCATCAGTTAAGGACTGAGTGAGACACGGGTGGAGTGGAGGATTTACCCAGAGGACAGGTGCATTATTATTATAAATGATCCCACTGCATAAACTAGAATGTGTGACACCTGACCGTGGGCTGTGTGGAAGCACACCAAACATCATTTCCTATCCCGAGCCCTCTGTCCTATGTGCTTAAACGCGTGTGTTATTTATGGTCCTGTCACATCATCAGCTGTGGCATGTAGGCTCAGACACGGAGAAGCTCATAATCGCTGTGTACTGAGAAAAGACGTACTTACCTGCAGAGACGCCACAAGAACCCGAAACACACTTCCTCCTGCTGGGCTTCAATACAACACGGGAGGCCTGTGACCCTTTACTGGGATCAGTGAATCTCCTTTTATTACCACGTTAACGTCCCCACAGTGCCGTTGGGACTGCGGCCACACTGCTGCACCTCTCCATGGCTGATGGGCTCAGCCTATCAGGCCTGGTTGTTGCTGGTACTGCTGTCCACGGTGCAGCAGCAGCCACCCGACAGCTAAAGTGGCGCTTAATTGGACACATACAAACAAACAAATGTGTGTGTGCTTTTTTTCAGGTTCTGCCGTTAATAATCTTATAAATCGCCCTGGTGTGTTTCATTGTAATATTCTCCTCCCGAATAATATCCGTGTCTGCGCCTCTCTGTCGTAAAACTGACGCTGCGTGTCTTCTTAAACCCGAGCGGGAGTTTTTAAAAAGGCTCCCGCTGTCGTGTTAGTAACAGCAGATGACGCCATTATAGATTAGAGTCACAGGAGAGCCACAGCAGGCAACCAAGACACTTTTAAAGTGAGCCTATGAAGCTGCAGCGTTTAGTTTAAATCTGTGCCGTTCGACTCTGAAGTCTGTCGCAAATCCATCACACGGCTACCACAGACGGACAGTCGCAAAACGTTCATATTCAGTATGGCCAGTTCTGTGTACTGTCTGTTACAGAGCAGACATCAAATATCCGAGGTTGGCACTTTAAGAGGAACTGTCACTTTCTAATTTTCTACGGGAAGCAAACGCAACATTGTCCTCACGCGAGACTTGCGTTGTTGCGTTTACTTGTCATCGGAAATCCGCAACTCAGACTTACTTGGAACGTTATTTGTTATGAATACATTTTAAAAATGTAAAACGTTAGAATTCAGCTATATTCAGATATGTTCGGTTATTTTCTCCGTTCTTTGTTTTACATTGTTTATTCTACTGTATTTTCAAAGTCGTCTAAAACAATCTTTACTTTTTATGACAGCCCCTGAATACAGCATGACACAACAACGAAAATGGCGTGCTGTGGAAGATGTTTTTGTTGCCAGTGTTGTTGTAGAGAGGGAGAGACACGGACCCCAGAAGAGCTGGTAAAGAAAGACGTGATAATAAGCACAGGAAGCATCATCTGCTTATGTTGTGTTTACTTTGGGGTTTTTAGGATTTCCTCTGAGCTATTCTAAGCGCTTTATTCTGGCTGAGCTGCTCCACCCCGCTGCTCACTATGTTCTCTTGTCTTGGTTCTTTTGCAGGAAAGCGAGGAATACTTATTAATGCACATTATGAATGTATAGTCGTTAAGTCAGCTGTAATATTGCTGCTTACAGAAGAGAGAGCTTCCCGTTTTTCCGTGTGACAATATAGTCCGTGGACCAAACTCCATTTATAATTTCCTCAGATTAAGCAATCTTCTTATTTTAATCAATTTAATCTCTGCCTCATTTCATATGGTTTTAATCTTTCAGTAGGTGTGGGAAGCTATTGTGCAATGCGGCGTGTTTGTCGCGTGGAAAATAACCTCTTTCTATTTATTTCCCCACATTTTGAATGTTGTGATTACACCAAGCAAAGGCGTAGTCTTACAGGACCTCCGAGAAGTATACTGCGAAGGCAGTATGGACATAGCCCGGCTTTATTTGCGTTAGTTAAACATGTAACCTGGAGTTTGTGCATTGAATTGAACGCTGCTCTTAAGTAAAGCTGTGTAATTCTAACGGGACAGCTTGACATGAAAGCTCTGAAACTTTCAACTACATACATTTAAAAAGTAAAGGTTACTAATCGCTGTAGTTTGTAACCACAGCAGAGTAAATGGAGTTTATTGATGGACTAGGAGACCTACTGTGGATACAATTACCTTCCAACTGTAACTGTTCTAGTTCCACAATGTAAAACAGATTTAGATCAGATTACAACCAAACTTTCATAGATTTTCTGTATTGACAGTTTAATATATGCAAATTCCAGCAACAGTGCTGCTTATGTCTTCATTTTGTGGTTTCGCTGAGGCACAGCTTCACATGTTGCACATATAAAACATATTCCATGTCTAAGAATCTGTGAACAAACTGTTGCTTCTCACTGGTTTTAAACCATAAGTCCGAGCATCACTTCCTACAGGAACTAAGTGTGTCCAGTGTTGGATGCTTTGGATGGTGGTGCAGGAGTCAAGTACTAATTCCACACTCATTTCTTTGTTTATTTCCTCTATTTATTTGTTATTTATTATTTTTTCCAACATGCAGGTGCACACATTTAGCTGAACTTTTAGTAGGAAGCTTAATTTGTGGTCAAATATCCTTGTGTGTGTATGTAAATACATACATAATTATTATTGTTATTTGTTTGTTTGTGTGTTTGTTTGTTTACCCCCCCAGACAATCCTTGGGGAAATCCCAGACGAGGAACAGATTCTACCCAGGAAAGACTATGAGGTGAGACTTGCTGGAGAAAGCCTTCAAAGAGATCTTATATTATGTGTTTAGAGCAGAAATGCCAGAGCAGATTAATTTTTTTCAGTACTGGACACAATCGATGTGTGAGGCAGGAAATAGTCACACAGTGTTTTGTGTCCACAGAGCTTGGATTATGACCGCTGCATCAGTGAGCCTTATGTGGAGGTCCTGGAGGGGATGGACAACAAGGTAAGACAGGTTAAATGTGTCATCTGCTCCTGTGTGGATGACGCCTGTGCAAAGGCTGTCACCGATGCACGTTTATTGTTTTACATCACATGATGAGATCACTGATAGTAGGACTTGTGCCAGCAGCTGATCTGTTAAACTGTATGTGATCTGTATTAAAGTTGATGTTCCACAAAGCTCTGTGTTTTTAATCTTGATCAGTGTTACTAATCAGCTTTTCATATTTGATTGCACAGACACACAGAAACCACTCTATTATAAATATTGAGCTAGCTCAAATATTTTAATATTAATTTGAACAAACCTCCTTTTAAAAATGTTTCCTATTTTCTAAAAGTTGTGAATGATTCATAATCAGATTAAGGAAACATTTTCTATGCAGTGTTATGTTAGAACAGGTCACGTGGGATCTGTCCACTTTATTGGGGCAGATCTCAAAATCCAAAGAAATATGACTGTAACAGTAGTTTGAATCTAGAAGTCACGTGGATCGTTGATGGATTTAAACGTAGACAGCATCACGATCTTTTAGCCTCCGTTTAATCAAAGTTTCTGTAACACTGCAGTGATAATAACAGTGTTCCAGGAATTAGGAAACACAGCAGAGAACAGCACTCTCCTACAGCTGGGAGGAGGTCAGGGATGAAAGCAGCAGGGCCGTTAGGATACTGTCAGACAGTACTGCTACACATGGCCACAAGAATATCAATGAAGACTCTGAAGAATTACTGTGAATTATTTGTCAGCATTACATTTCCATTTATCCAGTCATAGAAATATTGATGCGACTGCCCTGGAGTGCCACTGTTACGCCACCATACCTGCAAACGTTCTAGAGCTACGTCATTGTCACCAAGCTTTATTCTTCGGCCCTACATTCGATGTATGAGGCATATACAGATGGCAGCATTTGTATACAGATCATTGAAAGTCCTGCGGGCTGTACTACGAAGCACGATTAGCATGGTTAGCTAAAGTTAGAGGGGTTTTCTGTATCACTACAGTGGCTCTCTTTTTACCTGCTAAACCACTATAGTAGCTTATGCTGAACACAGCCTGGTGACAGGGAGGTTCTGTTCCACGTCTCCATCACTTTTATTTACAGCATTTTTAATCCTGTATAGATTCAATGCTGGGGGAATACATTTAGTATGTGGAGCTTGTGAACTCTCACTAAAACCACAGAATAAAGCACAAACTGTGCGACTGGGAACGTGTGTGTATTATTCATCCAACGCAGAAATGTTTTCAGACTCTTTTTAGTCTCTTATATATGAGAGAAAAAAACTGTTTTTTTATTTTCTTGTCTGCCAACAGAAAGCCAAAAAATATGAGGCGGTGCATTGGATGATGGTGTTTGCGATCGGGGTCACAGTGGGCCTGGTAAGGTGCATTCTGGGTCTTCTTTTTGTTTTGCTGGATTTCAGCTGCTCAATAAGAAACGTTGCTCTCTTTCAGCTGGGCCTGTTTGTGGATTTTTTCGTACGCCTCTTCAACAAACTAAAGTTTACTGTGGTTGGTGATTGTATCCTTTAACATGGCTCTGTACGTGGAGGATGGGCAGATACCAAAGCAGATAAATATTGGGCAGAAATGTTGTGCCTTAGAAGATCCTCGCACAGAAGGAGAGCCTTTGTAAAGTTGCGCAAAATATTGCATTATTTCCTTCAGAGATTGCTGACAGCAGGTGCACATTTTTATGCCCTTTTTCTTTTGTGTTTGTTTGAACATTGTCCAGAGTTGGTCCAAACAAATGTCAGGTCTATCTTTTTGTTCTAGAAAGAATTCAGAGTGCGTTCATATGATGCAGATGCTGTAATAATAGTGTGAAGTAATGTTTGGTTCATCCTGTGCTGTATATGTGTGTTTTCATGCCTGGGTTTTGATCTCTTCGCTAGTATCTGTCATATGGTTTCTATTTACTGCCTGACTCTTCATCTAAAGAGTGTTACTGTGTGTAATCACACTTTGTTTGTTGATGTGGTGATTCTACTTTAACTGAAGCCTCCAGCTATAGAGAAGTGCAGTGACAAAGGCTGTCTGTCTTTGTCCTTGCTGGAGCTCTTGGCGTTCAACATGACCTTCGTCTTCATTGCCAGTGTACTCGTCCTCATCGAGGTAAACATCTCAGCTGCAGCTGACAAACTCAGGAAAGAACTCCTGCTTTAACAGTTAAAGTGTGCAAATTCTGCGGTCCTTGCATTTGAGACCTGTCTACCTGCATCTCTACCTGTCCAAGTTTGTTAACTGGTTGTAGCATGTTGTTTCATTCTGGTATGTTTGTGATAGTAGATTACACACTGACCTGCAGTATCGTGTTTTCAGCCTGTGGCTGCAGGATCAGGGATTCCAGAAATCAAAAGTTACTTGAACGGAGTGAAGATTCCTGGAATTGTTCGACTACGAACTTTTCTCTGCAAGGCTGCTGGAGTCCTGTTCAGTGTAGCTGGAGGTAAAGTGCGTTTGACTCCCTGACATTTACTGTACCCAATAATAATATTATCAACAACCCAGGGTAGATGCACGCACACAACCTCCTCCTCCTCCTCCTCCTCCTCCCTGGCTACTACTGTTGTTTCCTTCCTGGAGGCGCAGGGTAGACTCTGTGTAGAGTTTTCATGTTCTTGGGCTTGTTTCTGAAAGTTGTGTAAAATATGGACGTCACAGATGCCCTGCGGTATTCCCTGCGTGATACTTGTTAAGCATCTACTTTTGTAACCTGCAGACACCACAGGCAGTCCTGTACTCTGACAGCAAAGCACTTTATTGGAATATTTTGTGTTGTGATCATAATGACTTCATATGGGAGGTGCAGAATTGGGAGCAAACATAGAAGAAATATCTTTGTGCTCCCGGTGGTGTTTTAGGTTAACTAAGGCAAAACAAGATCACTAATGAGGTTTTATACTTTGAGTCAAGCAGTGTCAGCTTCTGCTAACTTTAGAGCAAAATGATGTTGATGATGAATGATGAGCCAGGGTCAGAAAGCTGATGGACTGACTCTGTGTGCTCAGGTCTCTTTGTGGGGAAGGAAGGTCCAATGATCCACAGTGGAGCCATCGTGGGAGCCGGCCTTCCTCAAGTACCCCAAAGCTTATTCTAGTTTGCTTAGTTCTAGTTGTTGTTGTTGTTGTTTTGTGAAACATTTTGGACACTAAAAATAGCACTGGTGTTATTCTTGTGATTTGTCTGGTCGTACTTGTGGATATCAGACCTTTTCTCTCTCCATCAGTTTCAGAGCATTACTTTCAGGAAGATCAAATTTGACTTTCCCTACTTCCGCAGCGACAGGTATGTGATAGTAACGATCCTGAGTCAAACTAAAGTTGGAATATGGTGTAAATGTAAATAAAAACAGAATACTAGGATTTGCTCAGTGCTGTGTGATACACAGCAGACCTTGATATCCTGAAAACCTCAGGGACCTGCTGGGGACCTACAGATGTAAATCTTTACTGATCTGTGCTGCACAATTGCCCAAAGTTAAACCAGACTCTTAAACTGGACCCTGGCACTGACTGGGAGCCAGTATAACTGCTTTTGCAAGGGTGTGACATAAGTTTACTTAGAAGCCTTGTAAGTGACGAACTTGCAGATTGTGGTCCGTGGCTCAGCTGCAGGAGGCGTGGAGCAGTGGACGCATCGTTGGAAGAAGCTGACCGACACAGCTTCATTCAAGGAGAGTCTGTTGAGAAAAAAGAACAGGGGATTAATAATCTGGATAAGATGAAACATGGGAATGATTTCTAATACAGAGCATGGTGTGAATTCACAGCTGCACTCTTGTCCTCCTTACTAATCCTCTGCAGTTCCTGATTCACTGACTTTGCTCCATCCGTCCTCTCTCTTCATTCCTGAGCCCCTCACAGCACTCCTACCATCTTCTCAACACACTCTCTCCACTTGTTAGTAGATTTCAGTTGTTATTGTTAACCACACTAACCTGCTGTGCATCCTTTCCTTTCCAGCTCATTTTCTCTTTGTAGACAATCAGTACAAGTCCTTTTGTCCTTCGTTATCATCCAGCCTCGCATCCACATCCTAACCTCGCCTGTGCTCCCGGCTGCTTTGTTCATCTTTCTGCCTAGGCCACATTTTCTTTGACTATTTCCTCATCTTTCTCTTCTGACTTCTTCACTCACCTCTTTTCACTCTCAGTTTGTTTATGCAAACCACTTTGCATGTAATCATTAGTTACTACTAAGCTTTGACTCTTTTCCCCTGCTCGTCTTGGGCCCTGTCTCCTTCCCTTCACCCCCAGCTGGTCGCTGCCCCTCCCTGAGCCTGGTTCTGCTGGAGGTTTCTTCCTGTTAAACAGGAAAAACTTAACAGGAGGCCAAGTGCTTGCTCACAGGGGATCTTCTGAGTGTTGCGTTATTATACTTTCTTTACTGTACAATATAAAATGCTTTGAAGCAACTGTTTTTGTGATTTGGCACTAAATAAAACAGCATTCAACACCACCCCTTTAATTTCCAGCTTCAGGCTCATGATCCTGTATGACGCTGTCTTCACCTTCGCATTATTTATGTGTCCTCTCTTAAAGATTATCCCTACTCTGCTATAACAGAGACTCTCCAATATTATCGACCAGCTCTCTTTCTTTACTATACAAAGTCTATTTTTAGTTGTTCAAAGAGTTTGAATAATCTCCAAAGTAACGAATTTTCTTGTAATTTGTAGTTTACACAATGTTCCAACTTTTTGGCACAAACACTGTTACTGCCTCCTAGCAGTGTAACATGTGTGACATGTGACTGACAGTTTTCTTACCTGTTCTTCAGGGACAAGCGAGACTTTGTGTCAGCTGGTGCTGCTGCTGGAGTAGCTGCTGCCTTTGGTGCGCCAATCGGTGGCACCCTCTTCAGTCTGGAGGAGGGCTCGTCATTCTGGAACCAAGCCCTTACATGGAAAGTGGTAGGTCACCCTTTATAGTTACTTCACCACAATTTCTTTGATAAAGATGCACGGATACCTCTTTGGATATCATATTTAGGAGTTACACTGAAATGCTATAAAATAAAAATTCATTCTATTCTTCTATTTCTGTTTTACCTGCTTCATTTGTCATCAAATAACAAGAGAACAAGCTTTACTTGCTCGTCAGTCAATTGTAAAATTGAGCTCTGAAAATGTGCAAAAACGTCTTTAAACCTAAACAGTTGAGGGTTTTGACCTAAAGCTGAAAGTTTGCACGACAGATTAACGTTTGCTTTGGATCAGAAATACACCAAGAGGATAAAAGTACATGAAATTTGATCCTGTCATTTTTCCCTTATTTGCAACAACAATCCATCTGCTTTATAGATATAGCCAGGTAGACCAGGACACAGTGCACCATCCAATCTCTCTGACCTTTACTGACCAATGAGTGTGATTAAATGTTCCTCTTGTCTATCTACTGTTTTAGCTCTTCTGTTCCATGTCGGCCACTTTTACTCTCAACTTCTTCCGTTCGGGAATCAACTTCAGCAAGTGGGGCTCCTTCCAGCTGCCTGGCCTCCTGAACTTTGGAGAGTTCAAGGTTAAGAGTTTCTTATCTTGTTATTCCATGTGGTACAAAATGTATCTTCAAAGATTATATATAGTATTTAATTTTTTATATAAAGTATGATGCTGAAATAACAGACTTTAGGTCTACACAGTGACTCATTGTATTGATTGACTCATTGATTTGATTTTGAGGACGGCTCCAAAAGCAACATGCCAACCCTGTGGGTAGGGAAACACTGATCTGGGGTGACTAAACTTTACCATATGGTACCTTTTTATGTGGTTTCTTCCTTTAAAAAGGGAGTTTTTCTTGTCGCCAAATGCTGTTCACAGGGGCTCACGATTGTTGGATTGTAGGGCTTTACCTTACCGTATAAAGTGCCTTGAGGCACCTGTTTTTGTGAGTAGGTGATATGTAAATAAAACTGACACAAATGAAGTTAAAACATCTGAATCTCAACTAATCTGTTCTGACATGTTTACATATGGATTTAAAAAACAGAGTCTGTGGGGTCACCATTAGCCCAACTGTTCCACCATCTCACCTCATATCTGCTCCTCACATCATCGTTACTGCCTCTTCCTGTCTGTGATATCTCTTGCAACCGACCCAGTTAATACCTGCTGTGCAGAGCTTTCCAGTACTCGATAACAAAGTTGATGTTGAACTGATGTGACAGCTGCTGACATGACTAAAGATCTGCAGGTCATGCACCACTCAATTTATGTAACCTGGCAGCTGTGTTGAAGACGCGAGTGTCGGATTTCGCAGGTCTTTAGCCCAATTTTAATGATGTGTCAGTATAGATGTGCAGAGATTGACAGATTCTACAGAGGGAGATGTTGCAACAGTTTGCAAAGATTAGACTTTGTAGAAAAAAACTTGGAAAAAGAAGCTTGGTGATTCGTTTGCTTCCAGTTTTGACTTTTCCTTCTGTACCCACATGATGGCACCGGTTCTGACATAAACGGTAGTAACCAGACCGAAAAGCAGCGCACATTTCGGTGCTTTTTTTTCCTGAGCTGTGATACACTTTAGATTCTAGCCAATCGTTTTACGTTTCCGGGGATAGTAGGCGGGGCCAGGTACGTACGTTCTTTTAGAGCAGAGCTACAGATTAAAAATGCCCAAGGCAAAGCGGTCAAAAGTCTGGCTGTACTTCACAGCAAAATATGCAAACTCAGCAGCAACAAGTGCTTTAAGCTGATACTGTGATACTGTCAAAAGAGGTAACACCTCAAATCCGATGAAACACCTGGCGACGCATAGCGGGGGTTTTTTAAAGCCGAGAAATGCACCGTATTTGATAGCTTGCTGCGAGACCTCACACCGAGCACATCTGCTGCGGGTGGGTTGCCTGTTATCGGACCTGGATTTAGCAACATCCCCCAAAAACACGGGTCAGTGTAGCAGAAATGATGAGGATGATGATGCAGCAGCAGCCGTTCTTCTCTGCGTGAGTAGCTTAATGTTGTTCGTGTGTAATTTACGTTGAGTAGGCTAACCACGTTATTACATTAATGCATGTAAGGTGAACTAGCAAACACCGTCGTAGTTACATGCGGCTGTCTTCTTGTTTGATGGCAGATACTCCCTTCACCCTGGCCAATAAGGCTAAAATGACCAAAGAAAAAGTGGGAAACAGTTAAACATGAGAGGTTTTTGGACAAAGTTTGTGTTTTTTCCATTGTTTAAGCACTGCTTCCAGCCAAGAGTGATACCATATATGCCCCATAGCTGCAGAAAAGGCTAACATTGTTATCTTTTTACAAAAAACAGCTGAACATGAGAGGTTTTTGGACCATTCTTTAAGCACCGGTTTGAGCACCGTTTAAGCACCGGCACCGTTTCAAACGCACCGGTTTGGCACCGGTATCGGATAAAACCTAAACGATACCCATCCCTAAATATCAGCCTGATGTAAGTATTATTATGGTTTTATTCCTCTTGCTGACCAGTGTCCAGATGGAGACAAGAACTGCCACCTGTGGACAGCTGTGGATCTTGCCTTCTTTGTCCTGATGGGTGTGGTGGGCGGCCTTCTGGGGGCGCTCTTTAACTGCATGAACAAGAACCTGGCCAAGTATCGCATAAGACACATTCATCCTAAGGCCAAGTTTATCAGGTGAACTGTTTGACCGTCTTTGATCCCATCTGTGCTTTTCATGTTCATCAGACTGTGACACTAGGAGCCGAGCAGTTTGGTGTAAGACAAACATGAACTGAAGTGAAAGGTTTTTAAAGTGATCAACTGATAATGCATAAATGTGTGAACAGCATCTACAATTCAATTTTATTTATATAGCACCAAATCACAACAAGAGTCGTCTCAAGCTGCTTTATATTGTAAGGCAGACCCGACAATAATAATGTTATCTCAGAGCCAAGCTGCTGTTCACAGTTGGAACAAACATAACAGGGAACGTTCAGAGCAGGACAAACGTTAGAAAGGCAAAGGCTTTATTACAAACAATTCCTCAGTAAATTCCTGAAATCTGTGTATAACAAGCTGGTAGATGTGTGGTTGGTCACACCCAGAATATTACCTGAACGTTCCTGTGTTACATCATAGCATAAATAAGCATACCACTGTCATTTTGTTGCATGGAGTATAAAGCTGCATGCAAAGGAATGGAAGAAGTCTCACATACTGACATCTGTAGAGAAACAAACAAGGAAGCCTAGAATGGGCCATAAAGCCTAGATACGAGACCTGTGTGGCGCACACACACTGTTCCCTGTGTGCCTGCACGGTTCCTCTCCAGGTATTCCAGTTTTCTCTCACAGTCCATGCAGCATGTGTAATAGAGTCATTGTTCAGTCTAATTTGACCATGCATCAGCAAGTGGATCGAATAAAACTCTGTATGAATGTATGATTAGATGTAAAGAGGACAAGATAATATATCGTCTGAAGCACTTGGTCACATGGTCAGTAAGACTAGAAAAGTGCTTTATAAGTACCAGTACAATGATCTCCATGGTAACATATACAAAAACCTGGAAAGTAGAGCAGGGCGATATGACCAAAAATATTTATCACGATATATACATTTGAAAATTTGCGATGATGATATAACTGACGATATAATTGATGTGAGACAAAATACTTTACAACTCCACAACTTTATTAGTGCAAAAAAACCCATCAATGTATTTTCACTTAAACAAGCAGCTGTTTTTATGTGCATTAAAGTTATATAAAAATTAACAGTGCAAATGCAAATTCCTTGCTGACAGTTTAACCAAAAGGCATTTCCAGTGGAAACTGGCCGATATAGCCTCAGCATAACCATGTATAATATCCACAAAACTTAAAAAGAGGTTATACACACACAATACAGTAATATTATGTTGAAGCGCAGTGCGTATCACTCTGCGAGGCTCCTGCCTACGATAGTCGTAATGCTCCGACAATCCATCAAGCAGTGCGGCTTCGTAGCTTAGCAAAGTTGTACTAAAACATTTGACAGATTTTCGAGCACCGTGTACATAAAATCATTTCGAGGTCAGTAAACACAACCAGAGTTCATACATAAGGCACACGGGATTATAAGCATACCACTGTCGATTTTCAGAAAAATCAAAGGATTGATTTTAAGTGTGCCGTATTTTCCAAAAAATATGGTAATAACGACGGCCCGCTAGCATGCGCTAACAAAAATAGTGCTTTGTTGTGTATCTGATGGACGAAATCTAAACCAGTTCTACACCACTGGAGTTGCAGCATTTTTTAAAACCAAATGCTGTTCATCCGTTTCATTCAACGATCCGCTTTTGCCCTTCTCATTCTCCGTCGCCGCCATGCTTTTTCCACCATGTGCGTATGAAAACAAAGGCACTGCGCGTGCACGTTTTTACGGAGCCCCGCAGGGGACATGGGAGAAAATTTTTTTTTCGCAAAACAAACTCGGGATCTCGTAAAAGTCCGTCTTAATTTTTTTTTCTCCCATGTCCCCTGCGGGGCTCTGTACGTTTTACCCATATTCTATCGCGGTATTTCTTTTTCTTATCGTAGCCCAATATTATACCGGTATTACCGTGAACGGTATGATATGGCCCAGCCCTACTGGAAAGTCACAAACTCTGTTCACTATGGAAAGTAACTGAGTTGTGTTTAGAAACTCCTTCTGGTGATCCATGTTATGTATCAGGACCAGGAACATGCAGAACGGGTCTGTAAACATTTGGACCAAAGATTTCACTGTTGTTTCACTGCCACAGTGGTTAGAGTGACACTGCCCTCAAACCTGTGACACATCCACATTTTCCACTGGAAAATACATTTCTGTTCTCAGTAGAAGCTGGCACAGATATGTCAGACTCACACGAGCTTCGTCTCCTTTATAAACAGCACTGTTAGTAATGAATGAGCTCCCGCCCCAGTTGTCTATCATTTGTTTAAATAGATTCTTCCCTAAAATCTGCGCACTGAGAGAAAGATGATGTGTTCTGCTGAATAAATTAACGAGGCGCTCCTTTTAATTGATAATTTTCCAATCAGTTACTGTAATTGTTTCTTTTTATAAAGGTGCAAACTGTCGTTAAATATGTGCCTAACTTTGTAACCAGAGGATAATAAACGATTGTTCTAATGTTCCAGAGTTTTAGAGAGTCTGTTGGTTACCATGGTGACAACGATTGTGATTTTTGCGGCTTCCATGCTGGGTGAATGTCGTGACCTGTCCACTCCCACAGCTCACAACACCACGGTAAGAATTTTAATAATCTTTGCATTACTGAACAAAAACACCACAGGTGTGTTTTCACTGGTCTAAACGTTAAACGTATGTTATGATTACTGTGATATTTTAGCTTCAAATACTCTTTAAGATATATTTGTGTGAAAAACAATCTGTCAGCCCACTTTCAGGCCTTTTTTTTCCTCAGATTGAAATCTGTCACACCGTTTGAATGTGAATAATTCAGAAACTATTAATGACAAAAAAGCCTGACATTTCCATGAGCCTTTCTTACCATTAAAATGAACCAGGATCTGTAATCTGGGGCCGATGTATCAAAAAGACACTGGCTAATTAAAATATCAAAACTAATTCAAGAAGTCTTGCAAAGTTAGCATTAAACTACATGACAGTTTTTATTTAATATTGTACTGACGTCTTAATGGTGCATAGTTAAATTTACTTTACATTTCAATGTTCTTGCTGGATTGAGCAAATATGAAAAGTTGTACCCCAAAAATAAGACTGTCCTGTTCAAACAGAGCAGGATTCTTGAGTTTTCAGATGCTTTGCTAACAGAAAATACTTTAGTTCAATATGTTTTCCTTTTTCATTCCATCTGTAATCATCAAAGTTTCAGAATATTTTCTGCTCAAATATTTACTTAAATATTTATGAACATGTACCGTGAATACCATCTTCAATTCATTGGCCAACATGGTAAATGGACTGGTTCTTGTGGCACTGGTCTAATGTGCTGGAGCATGTAAGTGCTTTCTATCCAAAAGTCTCACACATTCATCAGAGAGTATCTTGGCCCAGGATATTTGGCATGCAGACAGGGATCAAACCTCTGATTAGTAGGTGACCTGCTCTACCTCCTGAGCTGATGCCACCCCCAGCACAGCTGCTTGCTGTTGGCTAGAGAGAAGCCTCAGCCAAAACCATCAGACGGCCTTTTCAGCTTTAGACTGAGACTCACAAACGCATCAAGAGAAGTTCCCAAACCATATGACACCAACCTCATTGAGGCCAGATATGGTACTTACAGCTATTTCTCCCTGAAAGAGTCCTTGTAGTTAAGCTTACAGTTCCCTGTGAGGATCGTGCTGGAAGAAGCAAACAAATGCAAACATCCAAAGTACCGAGAACTTGTAGATCAGTGCTGGTGGAGAGGCTGAGTACATGTGAGTGAGTGACTATAAGTCCATAGAAGCGGGATCCCGAGGTTTTCCTGCCTGCTCCCTGTGTACGACCTACGACCTTTCTTGGACTACAAGTGTTTCTACCATTAAAATAAATGAGGATCTGCAATTTGGCACAGATGCATCACAAAATATGAGTATTGGCCCACTAAAATATGGAAATTATTTCAAGCTGTCTGGTAAAGACCCATACAGTATTAAACTTCACATTTTAATCAGTGATGATGTCTGAATGATATATAAGCTTATTAATTTTTTATTTATATGTTTAAACTTTAAATCATAAAAGTTTTATACAAATCAGGTGGTCAAGCAGAACATCTCCTAAAAATGTGCTGATTTATGACAGAACGATATATTAAAAATGACAACACAGCATTTCATCTGTTATTAGACTCAGTTGGCTTCTGTCAAAATGTAAAAGAACCCACCCACCACTTTAACCACACTCTAGATCTTGTGTTAACATATGGCATAGAAACTGAACATTTAACAGTGTTTCCTGAAAACCCTCTCCTGTCTGATCATTTCCTGATAACATTTACATTTACAATAATTGATTACACAGCAGTGGGGAGTAGACTTTATCACAGTAGATGTCTTTCTGAAAGCGCTGTGACTAAGTTTAAGAATATAATCCACCCACTGTTATCATCTTCAATGCCCTGTACCAACACAGAGCAGAGCAGCTACCTGAACGCTAGTCCAACAGAGGTCGATCATCTTGTTAATAATTTTACCTCCTCACTACGTACGACTCTGGATACTGGAGCTCCGGTGAAAAATAGAGCCTCACTATGTGACCATGTTAACCTGTGACGTATGTTTTTTAGCTGGCTGGCAGTGAGGACATCAACTCAACCATTCGACAGTTCTTCTGCTCAAACAAGACCTACAATGACATGGCAACACTGTTCTTCAACCCACAGGAGGCAGCCATCCACCAGCTCTTCCATCAGGATGGTTAGATGAGTTCACACATGATTCATTCCATGCATTACTCATGTACCCCGTACAGTGAAGTGGCATTTTAGGCCATTTTTCAAAAATCAAGTTCAATTCTATCAATAAACAAACTATTATACGGAGTTGTAGTTTTCCATTCACTCTGCTCACTGAGGCTTCTGAGGTCAGACTGGAATCAATCTTCATTTTGTTTGGATCTTTATACAGTCATTGATTAAATGTGCCCACTAATATTTCCTAAATCCTTCAGACCACGTCTGTACGTTCTCCAGCACCGCAACAATGCAGTTTGAAAAAGAAAATCTGTTTTATTTTATGGTGTATGTACACTTTGAATGAAATAAATGTGTGTTGTCTTTAGTATTGCTTAGCCTTTCATGACTCAGTGTCGTAATCTCTTCTCTCTTCAGTAAATTTAATGCTTACATATATATAATAATGCTCATTTTTAATGCTGGTTTCTAACTCTCCCCCTCAGGTACCTTCAGCCCTGTGACTCTGTCAGTGTTCTTCTTCTTATACTTCCTGCTGGCCTGTTGGACATATGGTGTGTCTGTCCCCAGTGGCCTTTTTGTCCCCTCACTGCTGTGTGGGGCAGCTTTTGGACGCTTGGTTGCCAACGTGCTCAAAGTGTAAGAACTAATTAGAATATGCTTTTTCTCACTTTTTCTCTGTCACAGCCTCGTGTTGAGCTGAACTGAGAGCAGTCACTGTTGATACAAGCACTTTTTTCTGCTCAAGTGTTTTCTATCTAAGGCTACGTTCACACTGCAGGTGAAAGCACATCAAATCTGACTTTTTTGACCCTATGCGACCCATATCCGATCATGGTATGACAATGTGAACAGCACAAATCCGATATTTCAAATCCAATCTGGGTCACTTTCATATGTGGTACTGAATCCGATACATATCTGGGCCCGTATCCCTAAAGAATCTTTGTGCAAAAAGTGGCTCCTAGCGGCCAAATTCTAAGAAAATTCTCAGAGTCATGACGTTTTCTTAGAATTTCCCCTAAAAGTGA